CGCACCAGGTCGGGACCCCTAGCTCGGGGAGTGGGGGGCAATTGATGAAGGGTGATTTGGCCAGACCTAGTAAAAAGGGGACACGTGGACATGACCTAACCAAGAGATGGCAACACAGCCGGACAAGTTCAGTTCGCAACAATGGAGCTCGCGTATTCAATCACCTCGGCACAAAGACCACGACTTAAGGATCACCTCAGAGCAAAGCCACCTCGATGCAGGTCTCACCTCGGCATCGAGGCACCTCGGTATTCAAGCCAGTTCGGAACTAAAAGGCCGAAGTACCAGTTCAGAACAAACAACTCGAATCGACACAACCGACTCCCGCGTAACCAACTCCAGAGGTCTCTCCAACGACTCCTGAATCCCTCGAGATCACGACAAGTTAACAGACCCCGACCTTTCCAGGATCACGATAAGCACTTATCCTCACTCCGTCGGAATCGGAGGAGGAACGAGATAAGCCTTACCTGTATACTGTTCCTTCGGAAGCGAAGCGAACTCCATCTCCACATCCCGGATATCCCGGAACTCTTTCGTGTGCCCCACGAATACTCAACTATATAAAGGCTCCAACCCCGATGGCATGAGGTACGCGCGATTTCTCTGCTCTCTAGCTCTCTACATTCTCAAAGCTATTTCAGCTCGCAATAGCTTACTAAATTAAGCATCGGAGCGACCTCGCCGGGCTAACCACCCCGGGTTTTCTGATCTTATTTTGCAGATTTACCTAACTCACCGTCCGACTGGAAGCCAGACCATCCTCCAGCAGGGAGCAGTCCGATCGCGTAACATCAATTTTTGCTAAAATGAAACTATAATGGAGGTTTTTATGATTGTCAAAAACTTCACAATAGGTTTTTAAGAGATATTTGATATACCTTCATCCCACAACGTTCATTGGATATTGGATATTTAGGTAGAGATTAGAACAAAGAAGTTAAATTAGAAACCCTTAAAATCTAAGGAAGAATACGCCAAGCAAGCTAAGACAATCGCCTCCCTTCCTTTTTGCTAAAGAAGTGGGTCCCGATACCTCGGCGATAAGAGTTGGCCTCAACTTTACAACCTTAAGGAGGAACGCCTTCGTGAATAGCTAAGACAGGAGTTATGAGCTTCTTTGTAAAAATATGCCTCTTCGGGGGASGCATCGAGCCTTTGTGTGAGAAAGAGAAGAAAAAACATGGAATATAAAGAGAAAGGGACTATTTTGACAAAGGAGAAACTTAGAGAGATCAAAAGGTTTGTATACACATTCAATATGTTCACTCAACGTTCCATTACAAAAAGAGACCTCTTATGGGGGAGGTCGAGCCCCTAACAAAAAGATAACAAAAAATAAAAAAGGAAGAGAAGCAAAAAAGCTGTCTGGAGGGATCCTCGGCCCTACTCGAGCATCCGGTTCCGCTTTCTAGTCATTTTTTAAAACCATGTCTCCAACTCATCATAGAGGCCAACAACTAGGGGTGGACTCGAGCAGAACCGAGCTGAATAAAAATATTTTTTATTTTTTATTTTAAAAAAATTAAGAATTATAATATTTTTTTATATATATTATTTTATATAATTTTATTATATATATTCAAGCCAGCTCACGAGCCTCACGAGCCAAGCTCTATTAGACTCGAGCTCGACTCATTTCTTAATCGAGCTTGTGAATTGGACTCGAGCTCGGCTCGAAGCTCGACTAAAACCGAGCCGAGTCAAGCTTTTCTCGAGTCGAGCTCGAGTAGCTCGTAAAGAGCTTGGCTCGTTGCCACCCCTACCGACAACGCGGGAAGACGTTTGCAAAGACATAAGGGACCCTCGTCAGCTGAAAAAACCTAAGTAGCAGGAGAGTAGCACCAAGCAATTGAAAGTTAAGCCTTACCTCGACAAGCTTGTCGAGCAGCGTGTCTTGAACGGTCTGGGGGAGACCTGGGTCCACGAGTGCCAATCCCCATCGGGAAGCATGGCAGTGATAAAGGCACGACCAACACCAAGATTGTTGAGAATGTCGCTCTCCTTGACATTCTAGCTCGGGCGGAAGAGCTGACGCGCCACCAACGGGATGTCGTTGCATGGGTCCGAGAAATGAGGCATTGACTACCGAGAACGTCTGATAGTTGCCTTGGCTYGACAGCCCCTCATTGCTACCCTCTTCGCCCTCTGGTCTTGAGGGGCATTGGCTGACCGCTTGGGTGTAGTCTTCCTCCTCTTCTCAGCCTCGGAAGCTCCCTATGCTCGAGGTGGTTCCTTCTCATTCGGCCTCCTCGAAGGCCCCTTGGCCGGGCCCTTCCTAGACTTAGTCATTGCCGCTTGCAGGAGCCTATCCTTCAAGTCGTTGTTCATCTCTGCAACAAAGAAATACAGTCTATATTAGAAGAAAGACAAGGAAGGTTAAGTAGACAACACATCTAACCGACATTAGGAGTGCCCATACCGAGGGGGGTAGGGCTGAGGCCAGCCACACCAGGGCTTCCTCCATTATTAAGGGACCGGCGTGAATTGTCCCAGTTAGTTGTATCCGAGTCATCATGACCAACTCCTCCTCGCTGTTATACAACCTGATCCTCTAGGCCAACGAGTCCAGCGTCCCCTAGTTAGACCGGAAGGACCATCCTTGTGGGCAGCAAACGAAGAAAATTTTCTTCTTCTAGTTGTGGACGGACGATGGATTGTCCACTATCCTACCTTGTCAGCCCTGGAAGTGCCACAAACCATCCCCATCGGGATGCTTCCTAAAGGCAAATGACCCCATAAGACTTTCAGGGTCACAGACACACCTCAGAGGCGAGCCATCACCAGCACAACCACTATGGTCCTAAGAGTGTTTGAAGCAAGCTGTCAAAGGGAAATGTTGTAGTGATTAAGGTTTTCAAGGACAAAAGGAGGCAAAGGGAAACAGAAGCCGAAGTGGAGGTAGTGCTCATGCATGCACACCTCCCCCTTGGCAGGCTGCCACAGTCGGTCACCTACATAGGGAACTCTAACCCTATAGCCCCCAGGATATGGTACATCTCAGAAAGAGCCCCCACTTTCTCCTTGTCGAGCTCATTGTCAAAGTCAGAGTGGGAGAAACGCATCAACGTCACGTCTCGGCATTCGGCCTTGACCCACTCCTCGGGAGTAGGTTCTTCAGCTTCCTCAGGATCTACCACTTTAGGAAGCCTGGGGGATTCCCCATGGTATCGGCCCTTGGCCTTGTGGAGCTAGTACTTTCATTGGGAGAATCTCCGCCCCGCCGGTCGCGCTCGGCTCCTCCTAGGGCGGTTCTCTTCCTCAATACCTGGACGCTAGGCACCCAAGGGGAGCTCTTGGAATCATTGTCGTCGCTCCCACAATTGGTTGAGGTGGAAGAGGAACTACTAAGGTCACTCCAGTCAAGGAGTTCATAACACTTACATCCAAAGTCTGAGACCGACATGATTGAAGGCGGGAGTCCTTTACCTAGTGCCTGGATGAGAAAAGAATGTTTAGGGAACTAGCTAGTTGGTAGCTGAGGTCTCTGAGATCACAAGCGAAGACTCAAGGATCGAGCGAATGGTGAGGACTTGTTCAACCAGCGTCCCTATTTAAAGGAAAACATGCGACTTAGATCTCTTTGATCCAACGGTTGCAGACTAGCCGAACTGATAGCCCGAACCGATGCATTACACGTGGTATTGACCTCAGGGAGATGAAACGACGCCGAAGGAACGAATCGGTTCATTTGTCAACTTCGGGTCAAGAGCGACCCAAATCGGATGCCCCTCTGCACTGTCTCACACATGGCCACAACCAGTCGACAACGATGCCCATCCCACGCACGGACCCATGGTGGATGACGTCGACACCCGTATGGGGCACGACCGACGAACGTGGACGTCTCACACCGGTGTCATCCACGGTCGCACATTCTCGACCCCTTACAACCCTCCAATGAGGCGAGAAGCAAACAAGGAAGCAGTCACCACACAATCGCCAAGAAGAGTCCCCTATAGCTAAGGCCAATGCCTCCATGCAACTACATGGTACTCTCTTTGGCCGAAGCTGAGGTCTCTGCGCAACATGCCATCTGAGACCTCCACGCAGCTACATGGTACTCTCTTCGGTGGAGGCTGAGGTCTTTGCTCAGTGCACTATCCAACCTCAACCACTACAGCCTCGAGAGTGGGGGTGGGGGGCAAGGTAAGTGATGTAGGTATACTTGGCAGGCCTTAGATCACACCACATGGCGTCGGCCAAATTAAATCCTACCGCACATCACCAAATGCCTCCAACCACTCCAAGGCAATGTCAACTATAAAAGGGGGTGCTCATCTCAAGGTAAGGACACTTACTCTCTAGCATTCAGATACTCAAGAGAACTATCATTGACTATTAAGGACTAAGCTCTGAGCCCTTATTTCTAACCTGATCTAACCTCTCTTTGACACTTGCTAATTTTACCATCGGAGTCTCCGCCCCTAGGATAACTCCCGGGACACCAATAAAATCCCCTTATTGCCCTCGGCCTCGTCTTTGATAGAAACAATATATATATACATGTTTATATGTATAATCTATAAATAATATATAACATATTAAATAAATAAATAAATATATAATAAACATATATACTAATCGGTTCTAATTTTTCTGGTTTAATCGAAAACTAAACCGATTCTGCGATTCATTTACTCGTTTTTCGATTCAATTCGATTTTCGGTTTTTTTACGAGCACCTGGTGGGGTGGATTAGACACAACCTTTCTGGTACACAACATGGAGAGTTTGGCCTTTCACGATTTTAAACCGCACCACCTCGATACAGAATATGCGTTGCTGCAACTATTGAGGTTTGGTATTCACTAAGATGTATCATCTTTCTAAGCAAAAGCTAAGAATCCAGTGGACCTACAACATGTATTTTTTTGCATGTGGTCCCAATAAAACCGTACGGTTAGCGATTACCAAAAAATAATTGAATCCAGTAATAGTCCCAAACCGACCTTAATTACTAGCAGAATGGAAAATTTTTCATTCCTTTACCATCCTTGTTTACCTTACCTGACACATTGCGATCAGACCAATAAATAAGAATACGAAAACCTCAAGTCAAACTTGAAACGCAATAGTGAAGCGCAGTGAGACGAGAACAAGTGAACCTTGACCAATACATGATCTATGGAGAAAGACATACCTTTTAGTTTTAGGGAGGTAGGGAGTGGAAGTAAAAAAATAAAATAGAAAATTTACTATGTATGTGATGATGCACTGTCTTTGTTAAAACAGGGAAAAAAAACGGTTTGCTCACTAATAAGTGCAACTACAACGAGGAAGAATAGTTGGAGATGGACGGTTGAAACCCCAAAACCAGGTGAGACATGGGGCGAAAGAGCAGCAGCAGCAGCACGGCGACGGTGATGGGGCTTCGGATGATACAATGCGGGAGGCAGACAGCCCACGTGATCCAGCCAGACGGCCAGGTCCGCCAATTCGTGATCCCCGTCAAGGTCTCGGATCTCATTCTCCTCCACCCCCACCACTTCGTCGCCCACGCTTCCTCTCCCACTTCCACCTCCTCATCAACCGCAGCAGTACCCAAGCGGAGCTACTCGTCCATTCTCCCTTTGGACACCCAGCTTGAGACGGGCATCATGTACGTGATCCTCCCTTTGCCCCGTCTGTTCCCACAAGACCCACCGTCTTCTCCTCACCTCTGTGCTTGCTTTCTTTCTTCGTGTTGTTCTTCCTTTGACGCGTCCAGCGCTGGCGCCGGCATCGGTAGTGTCATCAAGGCTGAGTTGAAGAGGCACTGGCCGAGTCTGAGCATGTCCGCCAGCAGTGCTACCACTTCTTTTCTACAGTTTTCCTCTAGGATATCTCCAGAGGAAGAGGGAGGAGGCGTTAGTGGCAGCAGTTCCACGGTGCTATTAAGGCGAGCTTGGGAACCGGATCTACAGGTCATATCGGAGGACCGTGTACTGATCTTTAATACAACCAAGCAGGAATCCGAAGGCCAAGACAGCGATAGCGGTAGTAGTCGTAAGGGCAAGAAGCTTGTTTCGTCCTTACTGGCCCGGAACAATAGAAACAGCAACGGTGGAAGCACAGGTTAGGTCTCAAATCTCTTGTTTCTCAATTAAACCCCACACCCTCCAAGACCCGGAATCTGCCACCTCTTTTGTCTTGCGAAGGAAGACTGACTGCCTGAGCGTCAGGCAGCGGGCGGGCCTTTACCGAAGCTGTTCAAGGAACACGGCTTCCGGCGTGGTGGTCTGGTTGCGTTTCACTACCCCTCTTTCGCCATGGTGGACCCTGACTGGCACCCAACACAGTCTGAAAAATTGCCGTTCCTCCCACCTACTTTTTTTTTCTTTTTCTTTTTTCTTTGTATATCAGTATAATTCACTCCTAGACATGTGTTGGACCTGTGATGAGAGTGACATAGGTTGTCCTTCCAAGGCCAGAAGGCCCAGAACAGTTGGATATGGGTAAATCGCGCTTTACCGAAAAAAAATAGAGTAACGCAATCGCACAGCCTGGGCACTTTTTTTTTTAAACTTTTACGACACAGATAGGAGTGAGAATCATGAGATGAATACATTACCTTATCTCTCGTTTAGTCGTTTTTGTGATTTTATTTTTATCTACCTTGTAGACGCGAGAGACGAGAGAAAGACAGCCTCTGTGCTCTTTTTAGTCAGTTTGTCTCGGCATCCATATAAAAAAATTATTTTTCTATATTTGTCAATTTTTAAGCATAGCTATTATAAATTTAGTTATTGTTTCTGTAATGACAGTAAATGCCATGCTTAAATATAAGGCCACTTGTCACATGGCACTGTCCAACCCAGGCCGGTCCTCCAACTCCCTGCCATTTGCACGTGCTTTCTCAATCCGAAATAATATTTTTTTAGAAGGCCAATCCGAAATAATATAATGACGAGGTCTTTTCCACACACGTATATAATGGAATATAGTTGAAACTAAACAACGACAAAGTTTTTTACTATACCAATCTTACCAACACACTGTTAGAAACACAAAAAAATACCCCTGTTAGCTAGCAACTATCAAGTCAAGTCAACATATCGGATAGTTTTATTATTAAGGCTCAATTTGGGAAATTTGGTTCTACCAAAAAAATTAAGAAATTTGGAAAGATTATATAAAAAAATGTGATGCACTACAAAACAAGGTTTTCAAATACAAAATACATGTACAGATACCAATAGGGGCTGTCAATCGACCGGATTTGGATTGGATTCATCCGATTCAAAATCAATTTAAAGAATTAGATAATCAATAATATCGGATTGGATTGGATCTGATTTATTTGTAATGGATTTGTATACTATTGAGTTGGATTGAATCAATATAGGGTCCATTGACATAAGATAAGTATATTATGTGTCAATGGATTAGGACCATTAGGTTTGGGTTGGACCTAATCTAAATTAAAAATAATTTGAACAGTTTGGACGGTCCATACACTGAATTGGACCAGTCTAGAATGGTCCAAAGTATTCAACTAATTGGATTAGATCTGGACCAGCTATAATGGATGCATATTGAACAGATCCGGATTGGACCAATATTCGGTTTTATTGACAGACTGAAACTAGAAAATCAAAGCCTTTGATGTACTTATACAAATTGTTTTAAAAGGCTTGGGTCTTGAGGCGTGAGGTGTACCTTGAGGTGGACAGAAGATTTTGCCTCAAGGTTTGAGTCTCATAACTTTGGTTTGAGACTTAAATCTTTACGAGAATCAGATGTAAGTATCAAGCCTCAAGGTGTGAGGTGTAATGTAGGGCATAAAGATGTAAACCTCAAGTATCAACATTATTTAGTGGTTTAATGCAAAAACATACATACTTTTATGCATTTTTATAGTTCAAAATATATATAGAAAAAGCACTTTAATAATTATGAGCCAAATAAAAAGAGTAAAAATGAAAAAGCAATAGGAAAAATCAAGTTCTATTAGTTTCTCTAAAGAGTTCAATGTAAAAAATGGCCAATTAAGTTATTAGTTTCTATTGGATAAATCAAGTGGAATTTTTTTCTTATTATTCTAATTTGACATCCCAAGTTTGATATTTTTCTCATTTATTTTCCTAATGGGTTTATCTTTTTATTGATTTTTTTTTTGTATAGATCAAATCAAATAAACTGTTTATTTTCTTCCCAATTGTCAGATAACCATAAATCTAATGTCCACTATATAGATGATTATTCATATGAATAATTTCATAAGGTTGTGTTTTGAAACATAAAATGTAAAATGTTTATAATTGCTAGATGATTAATTATTATTTTATTTAATGCTTAAGAGTTAAAACTTGTTGCTTATAAACTTTTATTTTATGAATATTTATATTTTCCATCATTTTAGTGGTATATTACATTATATTTTTATCACTTAAAAACTTTAATTAATTTTTTTCTTAATTTTGAGGATTATGCCTCACCTTTTTTGGGACATTATGCCTCAATTATGCCTTTAACCATTTAAAACCTTGCTAAATTCAAGACCATGGTTTTTTTTCCTTATTCCTGCACTATAATAGTATTGTGGCAAAAGTGAACTCACTTTCTTATAGCAATGCTGGATTTGAATATTGGGAAGCTATTAATGAGGCTTAGAATAACTTGAAACATATATTGAAATCACCCATTGGTGCACTTGCATCCTTTTAACAGTCAGTAGTCGGAACCTATGCACCGCTGAAGCATTGAAAGCCTTATGACATTTCTAATCGAGTCAAGCTGATCAAAGTCCAATTTATTAATAAAAAATAATACTTTCTATTTATTTTCATTGAGTTTTAATTAACTTAAATGGATTGTAATAATTATTTTTTTAGTAGTAATTTTTAGATAATTTTTTTTATTAAATTAGCTGTTCTCATTCATGGAATTACTGATAAATTTTTACTAAATATTATTTTAAATTGACAAAAAAATAACAAGAAAAAATTCACTTATTATTTTTACTTTTTAATAATTTTATTTACTTTAATTAATTATAGTTTATATTAAATTAATAAAATTATAAATCAAATATAAACTTTTGTTAATGTGTTTAAACTAGACCTATTCATGGGTTGTGTCGGGCTGAGCATTGACTTTGTATCAACAGAATAATTTCCTTTTTCCAATATTATATTAATTTGTCTTAATAATTTGCGTAATTATTTGTTCAAATTATAGTTTTTCCATTTCCCATAGTCATTTATCTTTAATAATTTTCAATAATTTGCAAGGAAAATTGCATAATTTTTTAACGGTTTTCCAAAATCTATCAAATGTAATAAATTTTCCTAAAAATTACAAAATTTTTCAATTGTTTTCCGAAATCTATCAAATGTAATAAATTTTCCTAAAATTTCCAAAATATTCTAATAATTTTCAATAATTATTTAATGCATTTTAAACAAACTTTCAAATACTTTATATCTTTTAATTACAAAAATGTTATTTTATGAAAATGTAGTTTTATGATAATTTTTGAAAAATTTATTACATTTGTGTAACTATGGGGATTTATGGAAAATAAATTGTTAATAAATATTTTTTTATTTGGTAGTTTACTAACAAAATTACACTAATTTATCTTTTATTTTTCAATATAAATTAATTAATAATTTCATTTTTCTAACATTATAATATTTTGTTCCCCCATTTGTATTTGGTTATTAATTATAATAATAACAATAACTAAAAATTTATACTTTTTGATAATTGTTAAATATAATTCTCAATTTTATAGAATTTAGTTAAAGAGTTTTCAATTTCTATAAAATGTTGTTAACGAGTTAGTTGATAGAATATTTATTAATTTATGGTAATTTACTAACCGTACTAATAAGAATATTTAATTTTTGGTAATTTACTAACCACATTTATTAACTTTTGATAATAACACTATTTAATACTCGATGAATATGGGTGGGATTAAATATTAACCATATTTAACTATTTATTAATTAAAATGAATATTTTAAATGAGGGGGAGTGGATATAGATTGGGGGAATTCATCTGAGGAATTGATTAGGGAGTTGGGCAACATGATACTTTCCTATTGGTTTAAATTAGATACCTTAGCAAAGAGATTATAGGAATATTTTTAGGTAGTTGGGTGACATGGCTTATTGGGAGTGGTGGAAAGGGGAGGGGAAAGGAAGTCAAAGAGAAATGCTGGGAGGGGATAATGGAGCAAAGAGATAAGAGTATATAATTGTTAAGCGAAAGTTATAATTGTTTTATATTTTAACTTTTTAATAAACAATCTTATCAAACTCAACTCGAGTTGGTCAGTTTTCAAGTATTTCATATCGGTTTTGGTTTAATATATATATATATATATATTAATTTTTTATTTTAAATTTAATTTTTAATACAGGAAAGTAGGAAATTCCCATCTTTTTTAGTCTAAAATATTTTATATCATATATTTAATTTTTGTAATTTATTTTTTAATAATATCATTATAATTTATGAAATTTAAAGTTAATTTTAAAGTTTAAATCTTTTTAACAAACAAACTTAACCGAAAATAGACCCAAATCGATACAACCTGAGTTGGTGGGTTTTCGCTAATGGTCAATCGGTTTCGAGTGGCAAACTGTGGACTTGACCAGATCAATTTGGTTGGCGAAATAGTTTGCAAATGAACTGAACCAATCACTGAACACTCATAATTTAAACTATATTTATAGTGTAATCTCTAATAAATAACAATAGTTTAATCTCCAATAATTATTGAAAATTTATGGCAAACCTGCACAATCATTGAAAATAACTTTATAATGAAAACATAATAGATATATAATAAAAATAGAATAATTACAAAAATATAATAAATACTGAAAAATATACTTAATTAGTCAATAAATAGTGTAATCTAAAATAATAGTTTAATCTCTAATAAGTATTAATCTATAACTTATAAAAAATATATAATTACTAAAAATAATTTTCTAACAAAAATATAATAAATATGATAAATTAAATTTCAAAAGTTAAATAATAGTTGTTTAATCTCCGATAATTATTGATAATTTCCTAATAAATAACAAAAATAAAATTACATTTATAATAATTATTTAAAGCATATTTATAAAAACAATAAATAATTACAGAAAATAAAATAAATATTAATTATAGTATATATAAATATATAATGAGTATATAATATTATTGTAAAACTATTACTAATAAATATAATTTTGTTGATAGTTATTTTCTACAATTATTAATTATATAAGTGAAATTAGTTATTTACAATATTATTTATTTGTTGAAATAATATTGTTATTTAAATTCTTAAAATATTAATTATTTATTGAATTTATTCATCCATAAAATTATAATTGTACTATTGTTATATAATTCTATTATAATTATTTTTTTGCTTTTAAGAATCTTTTTTTTAATTTATTACATAATTTCGTTATTTTAACTATTTAAAATTTTGTCATGTTAAATGTTTTTGTATTTAAATATTTAAATTATATGTAAAATATTTAAAAWTTTTCATTATTTGAATTTTATTTATTTTAATGATATTATGTAATATTAAATATTTTGTTATATTATTTATCTATTTTTAGTGTTTTTTATTTCAGATTTTTAGTTATTGAAATATTTAAATAATGTTTTATTATTTAATGATAAATTTTTATTATTTGAATAAC